TCTTCCTTCCTGCTCTCCTGGCCTTTCCTTTCTCCCTTACCATCGGCTTCGATTCCTGTCAGTCCTCCGCTTCCGCTTCCACCCTCCTCCTCCTCCTCCTCCTCCTCCTCCTCCTCCTCCTCTTCCTCTTCCTCTTCCTTCCCTTCCTGCTCCTCCTCTACCTCCTCCATATCTTCCTTCCCCTCGTACTCTTCTTCCCCTTCCTCTTGATGACCTCCTGGGGGCTTCTTCGGGGCGACTGGGGGGTCTTGTTGGGGCCCTCTTGGGCCGTCTCAGGTCCCTCTTGGGCCTTCTTGTGTTCCGCTTGACTGTCTTTGCAGGCCCTCTTGGAGACATCTTGGGCCTTCTTGGGTTTTTGTTGGGCGCATGGAAATTCGTGATTCAAATTTCTTGAGTCCCTCTTGGGGGTACTCGTCGGGCCCTCTTGTGGCGTCTTGGGGGCCTCTTTGGCCATTTGTGTGCCTACCATGGTGCGTCTTGGGGCCCTCACGGGCCGTCTTGGGCTCCTGAGGCTGTCTTCGGAGCCTCCTGGTGGCATCTTCGATGTCTGGGAGCTCCTGGCAGTGCGGTGGCAACCCTGCTGGAATTCTCTATAGCCTCAGAGCGGCCACAATGCCAAATGAAGCGTATCTCTGCAGTTTCGTATCGCGCAGCGCCTTCTCCAAATTCCCTCCAGAGGCTCCGCTCCAGCAATTAGCTCTTTTCCTTTACGCCCGAACTCTGGTCGTGATTATTGTTGGCTTGGTCAGCCCTTCGTAAACTTCATGTTGTATCTGTTACTGTACGCCGCTGCTGGTCGTGCCTCCGAGGTTCGGGCCTGCCAGCTTTGAGCCGATACGATGTCTCGGGTGACTCGTGTCGTCTAGTTTTTCTTGTCTCTCCCATCTTTCTCGTCGTCGTCCTCCTGCTGATCCCTCATTTGTTCTGGTTGCTTTTACATTTCGCAGGGAGCAGGATATGTCCGCCCTGACCAGCGCCTGCGGTAGGCAACACATCACTTTTGGATTTACTGGCCTATCCTCGATTTGAGGCCGGGCCCCGTTGAAGTCTCCTGCTCTCCCCCTCATCCTCCTCCTTCTCCTCCTCCTCCTCCTCCGCCTCTCCTTCGGACAGTGATAGGATGTACTGGCCTATCCGCGATGTGACTTCGCATCAGGAGGCTGGATGCCATTGTTGAGCACACTCGCTTACAGTGGGGGCCCATACCAAGAAACACCCTGCTTGCCTCCAGGATGCCCTTGGTTTCTTGGGTTTCGATTGTTTTGCTGTGGGAGGCGTGACGCTCCCACACCAAGAATCAATGGACGTCCTGGGGTCTCAGGGTTGGATTTCTCGTCGAAGGTTTCTTGTGGACTGGCCTCCACTGTATCCGCAATTTGACTTCGATGGATACTCTTTGCATTGGCCCCTCTGGCTGAACGCTTTCTTTCCTCCCAGCAGCGCTCATGCGCTCCAGCGGTTTCCGAGTTCTGGTGCGCTCTACAGTGGGGGCCCATGCCAAGAGACACCTTGCTTGCCTCCAGGGTGCCCTTGGTTTCTTGGGTTTCGATGACTTTGCGGTAGAAAGCGCGACCTTCCCACACCAAGAATCAATGGACGTCCTGGGGTTTCAGGGTAGGGTTTCTTGTGAAAGGTTTCGTGTGGACTGGCTTCCACTGTATTTTCTCCGCCTGAGAGTGCCTCTAACCAACTTGATGACACAAGTCTTGTGCATTTCCTTATCAGCCTTCCCCTCTCGTCGAGCCCACCGCCAAGGCACGGATATTCGGCCGCAGCTGCGCCCTGTGAAATCGTTGGTAGGCTATAGCTCCTGAGGCTCACGCGGATGCAGGGCTGCGTGCGGCATCGAAGTAGTTCTCCCTATCGTCTCCTAGTCGATGTTTGTGGTGCGCTGATGACCGTGCTGCTGTCACAACCGCCCGCATCTCCGCCCCTCTGGCGGATCATCCCGCTCCCACCTCCCCTTTCGGAACAAGCTCTAGACCGGCCACGGAATCGAGCCGCCCCGCCCCTCTCCCCCCCCCCTTCAGGTGTTTTGCTTTGACGCGACGGGCCCCTCATAGGCAGTAAACTGAAGACGGGACTGGAGAGACAGCGGACTGCATCCCTGCCTCCTCGCATCCCTGTGATACGTGCTGACTGGAACACGAGACCACAGCTCCTCAGGAACCTTTACAGCCTTGCGCCTCCTGGTGGGCTGGCATCAGCTGTGGCCATCCGCGCGGAGGCCACCTACCATGCTCGAGCACACGCCCCACCAGCCCACTCATAACCTCGTGGCAACACTCAAGACGGGCGTGAGTGCATTTACAGTCGACCCGCATGATAAGGATGGGCAACCTTCCCAAGGGTACCCTTGTATCCCTGCCTCCTCAGCCCATCCTTGGCCACTTTCGTTGGCCGCGCCCCGCTAGCAAAGCTTCGACATGGCCTGCCAAGGCCCTTGCATCCTTACCGCGCATCCTTACTATACGGGTCGACCGTACCCATCGGGATGGGATTTGGTCGCGAATCTCGAGTGGCCCAGCGACGCGCGGACCCGGCTCTCGCAGATCCATGGCTCGCGCGGGCGCGTGATGCTGGTGGCGACGACACCGTCGACAACGACGATGACGATCATGGTGATGGTAATCGTGGTGGCGATGATAACGAGGGCGACGACATCGTTGACGATGATGACGATTGTGGTGATGATGACGACGACTGTGGTAATGATGCTGGTGACGATGACTTTGGCAATGGTGATGAGTATGGTGCTGACGAGGGATGAAGAAGTGAGCCCGCCGAAATGCTGCAAGTCCGACTTTGCCGCATTGAGGACCAAGGGTGTTCGTATGCGTTTGGAGAAAACTGTGTTGAACGTTTGTCCCTTCCAGCCGCGTTTCGGCTTGCCATCGTTTGTTCAACGGTCAGGCCCAATGGGATCGCTGATTGATCGGATTTGGGTTTCTTGAGGGAGGTCTCTTGTGGACTGGCCTCCGCTGTGTAGCCCTGACAGATCCCCAGGGGTCTCCCGCCTCGCCCGCGCCGCGCTCCGTGGACGCCAGGCCCCGGCACTCTGGTTGACCCACAAGGGGATGCAGCTACAAGGGGGTGTGTGCAAGGGATCTGGTGCAACGGATTTGTGCCTTGCAGTGGATTTGGGGCGGGCAATACATTCCCTGGCCCAGGGCTCGTTTCGATTCCTCCGATTCGATTCGGTTCGACTTTGATGGATTCCGATTCCAATTCGATTCGACTTCAGATGCCGATCCCTCAATGGAGGCCTGCTAGCCTGCCGATTTCCGCCGATCCGATTCATTTCGATCGCCGATCCGACTTGTCGATTCGATTCTGGGCTCTCCTGGATTTGTTGGTTGCGGTAGTTTGGGGGCGTGCTATACATTCGGGGGCGCAAATGTACTGCTGGATTCTCGCGTGAGTGCATTGGTTGCAATACACTGCAATGCAATCACCCGGCGCAGTACATTTGCAATACGATTGCCCCCTTTCAGCTGGACCCCCTTTTGGGTCACTCAAGACACTCTCCCAGACCCCCGACGTCGTGACTTTCTCACCAGGTCGACTCCCTTCCCCGGGGCCCTGGTTTTTCATCCTGAATCGTATTTTGACTGTCCCGAGGCCCGGCACAGTCAACCCGCACAGTAAGGACGGCTAACCTTCCCAAGGGTACCCTTGCATCCTTCCCCTTCGGGCCATCCTTGGCCGCTCTCGCTGGCCGCGCCTTGCTCGCAAAGTGTCGACATTGCCTACCAAATCCCTTGCATCCTTACCGTGCATCCTTATCACACTGGTTGGCCGTAAGGGCCCCCGGAGATCGAACATAGCGAAACACTTCCCGTGGCGCTCTGTGACACAGCGCGCGGTGGTCGGGGCTTGGTGCTGCCCAAATTTGGCCTCACCCGCGCGGCCTGCCGCGGCCGCCGGGCCCCGGTGGCCCAGGTGACCTCTGGGTATTCTGCCCCCCTCGGCCCTGCATATCTCGAAGAAGAAGAGCAAGTGGCAGAAACATAAATGTTAGGCCTATGATGTTCCAACCTACTTTAGCAATGATCACCAGAACGAATTTCGAGCACCAGGAAACTACCGAAACTGGAGGGCTTTCACGTGTCGGGCCCTGGGAGGCGATGCTCGTTCGACACTGTTACGATACTTTTTCTGCGTGCTCGAAATTATTTCTGTGGGGGTAGTCACGAGGGGAGCAACATAATCTTAGGCGCTCTGCGAGGATTTCTCGGATCCGCGCTGGGCCCTCCCGGCCGCGCCTCCGGCACAGCCCCTGGTGTGCTCCGCGCACCAGGGAGGGGGTCCCCCGCAGATCCGAGAAATCCGCGCGGACCGTCTCGAGTTTGTGCTTATTCCCCAATCAGTACTTGCACTGAAGGGTTCCTAGCGGATATTGAAAGATTTGGCGACAGTTTCCCGCTGATTTTGGTGGCCGGCTGGGGTTCCCAGTTCCGGGTTCCCGGGTTCCTGGTTATGGGTTCCGGGCCGATTTCGGCGGGTTCCGGGTTCCTGGGTTGACGGTCGATCTCCTTTCCGATCTCTGTATCGATCCCATTTCAAACCATCCATTGATAGGGTTTTTTCTTTGGTGTAATGTTGTTCGTCCTCCTCCAATATCTCGCGACCGCCCGGGCCCACGGATCCCCAAGAGTGTCCAGGGACGACGCAGTGAGCAGGCGTGTAGAGAGGCGTAATTCACCAGTCGTCGAATGTAGGTGTGTCTGGGTTCCCAGATCTCAACCCACCGTTTCAAGCGCCTTCCTGCCTCAAGAGTCGATCTGTTTTGGTGTTTCTATTTCTTGGCGGGCCCAAACCCAATGTACATTATCCGCCTTCCCACTTCATGTTTCTTCTCCCGACCGGCGTGTAACTCACAGGCAGCCTCACCAGGGAAGCGTCGCGACGCCCAGGCACAGTAAGAGCGTGCAGAGCAGAAGTCAAGGAATGACGTGGCACCGCACTCATCGAGAACCCGTATTCGTTTTGGCTCTACCAGTTTTGACCCAGGCCTCCTGAGATTGAGCGCCCCCTTAGCCCCGACCCGGCTCCCGACGCATGATGGCTGCCATCTTCCGCGCCCTCGCGCTGCTGCACCTGCTGCCACGGCTGCTGGCCGCGTCCGCTTGTCCAGACGCGGCGTGCGGCGCAGGCGAGCCGGCAGAGGAAGCCGCGTTGCTTCAGAGCATCTCCAGGAGGGGCGACGCCCGGAGCATCCCGGCGGTGCCGCCGTCCCTGCTGTCCGGGGCAGCGCCTGCTCCTGGCTCGGCGGGGCCCTACCCCGTGAAGTGCTATGCGGGCCAGAGCACGCAGTGCCCAGGCAGCTCGGACCAGTGCGCGGGCAACCAGTGCTGCCCCGGCATCCCGTGGAGCGGCGGCAAGACCTTCCCGTGCCCATCCGCCACCAGCGTCGAGGCCTCGAACTGTGCCAGCAGCCAGAAGGCCTGGTACTGCGCAGCGTCCTCGGACATCCCGGCGGTGCCGCCGTCCCATGTGTCCGGGCCAGCGCCTGCTCCTGGCTCGGCGGGGCCCTACCCCGTGAAGTGCTATGCGGGCCAGAGCACGCAGTGCCCAGGCAGCTCGGACCAGTGCGCGGGCAACCAGTGCTGCCCCGGCATCCCGTGGAGCGGCAACAAGACCTTCCCGTGCCCATCCGCCACCAGCGTCGAGGCCTCGAACTGTGCCAGCAGCCAGAAGGCCTGGTACTGCGCAGCGTCCTCGGCGCTGCAGGGCAGCTCGACCAGGAGGGGCGACGCCCAGAGCATCCCGGCGGTGCCGCCGTCCCTGCTGTCAGGGGCAGCGCCTGCTCCTGGCTCGGCGGGGCCCTACCCCGTGAAGTGCTATGCGGGCCAGAGCACGCAGTGCCCAGGCAGCTCGGACCAGTGCGCGGGCAACCAGTGCTGCCCCGGCATCCGTGGAGCGGCCAACAAGACATCCCGTGCCTCTCGCCATCAGCGTCGAGGCCTCGAAACTGCGGCGCCAGCGACCAGAAGGCCTGGTACTGCGCAGCGTCCTCGGACATCCCGGCGGTGCCGCCGTCCCTGCTGTCAGGGGCAGCGCCTGCTCCTGGCTCGGCGGGGCCCTACCCCGTGAAGTGCTATGCGGGCCAGAGCACGCATGCCCAGGCAGCTTTCGGACCAGTGCGCGGCAAACCAGTGCTGCCCGGCATCACGTGGAGCGGCCAACAAGACCTTCCCGTGCCCATCCGCCACCAGCGTCGAGGCCTCGAACTGTTGGCCAGCAGCCAGAAGGCTAGGTACTGCGCAGCGTCATCGCGCGCAGGGCAGCCGACCAGGTATGCGACGCCCAGAGCATACCGTCAAGAACGATCTGTTAGTAACAGGCGGCAGCGCCTGCTCCTGGCTCGGCGGGGCCCTACCCCGTGAAGTGCTAGTGCGGGCAGAGCCACGCAGTTGACCAGGCAAGCTCGGACAGGCGCGGGACAAAAAAAAAAAAAACCAGTGCTGACCCGGCCAATCCGTGGAGCGGCAACAAGACCTTCCCGTGCCCATCCGCCACCAGCGTCGAGGCCTCGAACTGCGCCAGCGACCAGAAGGCCTGGTACTGCGCAGCGTCCTCGGACATCCCGGCGGTTCCGCCGTCCTGCGTCTGGCGGCAGCGCCTGCTCCGGCTCGGCGGAAGCAGCGGGGCCTACCCCGTGAAGGCCTATGCGGGCCAGAGCACGAGTGCCCCGGCAGCTCGGACCAGTGCGCGGGCAACCAGTGCTGCCCCGCATCCCGTGAGAGCGGCAACAAGACCTCCTCCCATTGCCCATCGCCACCAGCGTCGAGGCCTCGAATTGTGCCAGCGACCAGAAGGCCTTGGTTACTGCGCAAGCGTCTCGGCGCTGCAGGGCAGCTCGACCAGGAGGGGCACGCCAGAGCAATTCCGGCGGATGACTGCAGGGCGCTATGTCTCCGGGGCAGCGCCTGCTCCTGGCTCGGCGGGGCCCTACCCCGTGAAGTGCTATGCGGGCCAGAGCACGCAGTGCCCAGGCAGCTCGGACCAGTGCGCGGGCAACCAGTGCTGCCCCGGCATCCCGTGGAGCGGCAACAAGACCTTCCCGTGCCCATCCGCCACCAGCGTCGAGGCCTCGAACTGCGCCAGCGACCAGAAGGCCTGGTACTGAGGGCCGCGTCCTGGCGCTGCAGGCAGCTCGACCAGGAGCGGCGACGTCCAGAGCATCCCGCGGTGGAGCCGTCCCTGCTGTCCGGGGCGCGCCTGCCTCCTGGCTCGGCGGGGCCCTACCCCGTGAGTGCTATTGCGGGCCAGGAAGCACGCTTGCCCAGGCAGCTCGGACCAGTGCGCGGGCAAAACCAGTGCTGCCCCGGCATCCCGTGGAGCGGCAACAAGACCTTCCCGTGCCCATCCGCCACCAGCGTCGAGGCCTCGAACTGCGCCAGCGTCCAGAAGGCCTGGTACTGCGCAGCGTCCTCGGCGCTGCAGGGCAGCTCGACCAGGAGGGGCGACGCCCAGAGGCTCCCGGCGGTGCCGCAGCCCCTGCTGTAGGGGGCAGCGGCATGCTCGGCTCGGCGGGGCCCTACCCCGTGAAGTGCTATGCGGGCCAGAGCACGCAGTGCCCAGGCAGCTCGGACCAGTGCGCGGGCAACCAGTGCTGCCCCGGCATCCCGTGGAGCGGCAACAAGACCTTCCCGTGCCCATCCGCCATCAGCGTCGAGGCCTCGAACTGCGCCAGCGACCAGAAGGCCTGGTACTGCGCAGCGTCCTCGGGCGATGCCAGGGCAGCTCGACCAGGAGGCGGCGAGCCCGGAGCATCCGCGGTGCCGGGCTCCTGCTGTCCGGGGCAGGCACGCTCCTGGCTCGGCGGGGCCCTACCCCGTGAAGTGCTATGCGGGCCAGAGCACGCAGTGCCCAGGCAGCTCGGACCAGTGCGCGGGCAACCAGTGCTGCCCCGGCATCCCGTGGAGCTGCAAACAAAGACCTTCCCGTGCCCATTCCGCCCACCAGCGTCGAGGCCTCGAAACTGTGCCAAGCAGCCAGAAGGGCTGGTAACTGCGCAGGCGGGCATCGGCGATCTGCGGCAGCTCGACCAGGAGGGGCGACGCCCAGAGCATCCCGGCGGTGCCGCAGGCAGTCCCTGATGTCCGGGGCCACGGCTGATTCCTGGCTCGGCGGGGCCGTTACCCCGTGAGTGCATGCGGGCCAGAGCACGCAGTGCCAGGAGCTCGGACCAGGCGCGGGCAACCAGTGCTGCACCGGCATCCGTGGAGCGGCAACAAGACATTCCGTGCCATCCGCCACCAGCGTCGAGGCCTCGAACTGTGCCAGCAGCCAGAAGGCCTGGTACTGCGCAGCGTCCTCGGCGCTGCAGGGCAGCTCGACCAGGAGGGGCGACGCCCAGAGCATCCCGGCGGTGCCGCCGTCCCTGCTGTCCGGGGCAGCGCCTGCTCCTGGCTCGGCGGGGCCCTACCCCGTGAAGTGCTATGCGGGCCAGAGCACGCAGTGCCCAGGCAGCTCGGACCAGTGCGCGGGCAACCAGTGCTGCCCCGGCATCCCGTGGAGCGGCAACAAGACCTTCCCGTGCCCATCCGCCACCAGCGTCGAGGCCTCGAACTGCGCCAGCGACCAGAAGGCCTGGTACTGCGCGCCGTAGCGGCGCCACAGCAGAGTGAGTTTTTCGGCACATCCACCTGGTGGGTCACAGGTTCTGCGTTAGCGGACGTGGCTGCAGGCTATTTTTGCTCCCCCCGCTCTCGCTCCCTCAACCCTCCCCCCACTCTCGCTCCCTCCCTGTTCCTCCCCCCCTTCCCCTCAGCCCGATGGCCAAAGGACCGTGCCCGATCTCAGAGCGGGAGCGGCGCGTCGCGTTGCGTAGCCGCACTTGGGTTGAACGCTTCGCCGAGTCATTCCAGCAATGGCATTTGATTTGTGGTCAACGGAGTGCCGCACGTCGCGCGGCGTACAGGCTGCGGGAGGTGCTGTACGTCCTTGTGGAGGCTTCTGCAATGCACTGGCAGATCATTGAACGAGAGCGCGGTTACAACTACTCGACGCGGAGATCCGAAAGAGCGCTTTCTACCGTTACTGGCAAGCCCCCCCACGGTTCGAACCGAACCCCCCCTGGGGGGTAAAATCCCCCCCTTCCGAACAGGGGGGAGGGGAGGGGGAAGGGAGAGGAGACCCCTTTATCACCAAGGTTCGAACAGGGTCGGGGGGGGGGCGGCCTCGGCCTCAGCCGCAGCCCCTCCTTGGGATGGGGGGGAGGAAATTTGCCCCCCCCCCCCCCCCCTCCTCGTTTTCAGGACTGGGGGGGGGAGGGGAATTGTCCAGTCAAGCCACGGCCTTGGCAACGCTTGGACATGTATATTTTGTTTCTGCGATGATCATCGAGGAGCCTGGGCCATTCTGCGGCATCGTGCGGAAAATCAATGCACGAAACCGAAGCTTGCACGGGGAATGGACGTCCAGGCGATGGCAAGCGGTACCTCGCGCTCCCTCATATCCCAATGTGTGTATGTCATTTTCATGGCACGTCTCGCTGAGAGCATTTGTCTGTGAGTATCCGGGTGTGTAAATGGACTGGTGCCCCCCACATGAGGTGTTGAAGCTGGTACATCGTCACAATCTGCTAGAGGAGTACGGGGGAGAGGGAGGAGGAGGAGGAGGAGGAGGAGGAGGAGGAGGAGGAGGAGGAGGAGGAGGAGGAGGAGGAGGGAGTGAAGAGGAGTGATGAGGGAAGTGAGGATTTTCTGGACATCCGCAGCCACAGCCGCCTCAGAGGCAGTCAACTCAGTCCAGCTCTACCGTCACTCCCGATCGCTTGGAATGGATTGTTTTGCAGAGCCTTGACCACACCTCCTTTCTCCGAGCGTTTCCCGCAGACCACGCCCCTTTATTCCTGGTCTGGATCCGACGCTCTGGAGGGAGAGAGCCGATAGGGCACGGGCCTTCCTGGCCGAAACGGACGACACTCCCATCACTGCAACCGGCCACGATGCACCCATGACCGACCTCTCGCAGGCGCGTCGGGTCCACCCGCGGCTTGTTGAAACGGTTCCCTGGAGGAGGGCACTGTTCAGAACGCGAGCTCTTGAGACTTCCACTTTGTTGCCAAAACCTGCCTACCCAGCTCTACGAGTGTGGTGGCCTCGCTTCTCTCGGTGCAGGGTGGGGGGGATGGTCTCGACACGCTGAACCTCTCAAGGTCAGTGCGAGACCATCTCTCCATCAAATTTGCTGCAATAGAGGTGACCGCTTGGGCCACCTTCAAATCAAAATTTGGCGCCTGGGCCTCAGGACCCGAGGAACTGGGGTGCAAGGGGGCCCCATCCTTAGCTGCGGTGTCCGCAGCATTGCTCCCCAAGACATGCAGGCGCTCGGACAACGGCAGAGACTGGTCATCCTCCCGACTGGCCTTAATTGATGGGCCTGTTCTCCACCACCACCATCATAAGTTGGAGGGGGAGGGGTTCCTTGTGGCAACACTCAAGACGGGCGTGAGTGCAGTTACAGCCGACCCGCATGATAAGGATGGGCAACCTTCCCAAGGGTACCCTTGTATCCCTGCCTCCTCAGCCCATCCTTGGCCACTTTCGTTGGCCGCGCCCCGCTAGCAAAGCTTCGACATGGCCTGCCAAGGCCCTTGCATCCTTACCGCGCATCCTTACTATACGGGTCGACCGTACCCATCGGGATGGGATTTGGTCGCGAATCTCGAGTGGCCCAGCGACGCGCGGACCCGGCTCTCGCAGATCCATGGCTCGCGCGGGCGCGTGATGCTGGTGGCGACGACACCGTCGACAACGACGATGACGATCATGGTGATGGTAATCGTGGTGGCGATGATAACGAGGGCGACGACATCGGTGACGATGATGACGATTGTGGTGATGATGACGACGACTCTGGTAATGATGCTGGTGACGATGACTTTGGCAATGGTGATGAGTATGGTGCTGACGAGGGATGAAGAAGTGAGCCCGCCGAAATGCTGCAAGTCCGACTTTGCCGCATTGAGGACCAAGGGTGTTCGTATGCGTTTGGAGAAAACTGTGTTGAACGTTTGTCCCTTCCAGCCGCGTTTCGGCTTGCCATCGTTTGTTCAACGGT